CCAGAGACTAACTCCTGTACTAGGGGGAGCTTTGGGTGAAAGCCCAAAGCGTGTGTTCCTCAGGGGGTATAGGGGGTTCCAAATGTATAGTAGGGATAGTCGTTGGAATGCTTGTCCAACCACCTAAGACATTAGTTTGGCTCCCGCTAGGTTGTGTGGTTCTTTATTCTACGTCCAGCTTGGGTCTAAGCCCAAACTCCATGCTGCTCTAGTCGGTGGGGTACCCTTCTCCTCACATTAGGCCACTGGTATGCCAAAATTGTGCCAGACTCCGTCTGACACCATTTTGCATGTATGTGCTGGATACAGGGATCTAGTGCTCGTGGGATTGTATTGAACCCTCATTTCGTAGTGCAACAGATTTAGAGTTTGGCTCCAAATTCAGGTGCGCTACATTTGGTATCAGAGGAATTGTCTCAGCAATTCCTATCCAACTTTTGTCGGATTTTCTTACTCAAGTTGCATATACAGAGACTTTTGTAATAGATCCGAAGCGACCTGTGTAGGATTAGTTAGATTGCACCATTCGGTAAGAATGTTGTATGCATGTTTAGTTACTGATAGAGGCATACATGCAACTAGCAGGATGGTGAAAAGGAACCGTGTTGACGATGTTGAAACCTCCAGACGGGCGAATTAAGAGGAGAAAACTCTTGCTAAAGATGCTGCAGAAGAGGCTTAGGCTGAGTCAGAAGAGGAAGAGCCAGAAGCTGCGGTGCTGTAGCGCACAGCTCATGAAGTCGAGATCAAGAATTTGCGAAGGGAGATTTTCAAATTGAAGAAGGACAACAAGAAGAGGAAGAAAGAAGCTGAGGCAACTAAACTAGCTAAACCTAAGCAACCAGACTCCTCTTCAAGTTCTAAGGATGATAAAGTTTTGCAACCACCCCCAGTTGCACGAGTTTCAAAGTTCAAGCCTCTAAAACCACCCAATTTAAGAGGCATGTGGGACTATCAGATTTTGGAAGACTGGGTCTACAATATGGAAAATTATTTCACAGTGGCAGACGTAGATGATCGTACGAAAGTTGTGTGCACGCAATCCTTTCTCACCGATCATGCCAAAATTTAGTGGCACCAGGTGTGTGCTGAAAAAGAGCAGACTAGAAGTTGGACCAAGATGCAATCTCATATTCGTAAGGAATATTTGCTGGATGATCTTGGTTTGAGACTTCATGCGGAGCTGCGACAGTTAAAGCAACAAAGGGACCTCATGCATTATGTTAATGTGTTTGCTCAAAAGTGCATTATGATTGTAAATATGAATGACGAAGATGCCCAGAGTTATTTCCTAGAGGGTTTAAGTTCACTTTCTTGCAATGAGATTTTGAAGTTTAAGCGAAAGACGTACCTGGAGTGTAAGGAGGCAGCGCAGCAAGTTGCCTTTAGCCATTCACTCATGGAACAATATCAGCAGCCGCATGTTGGTACCTCGAACAAGAATAAGAATTCTAGGAATAAACAAGGTGACTGGAAATAGAGGGTGGAAGGCAGATACTGCCCTAGAGGCTCACAAGCTATAGTTAACAAAGGTGGTGGTGGTTGGAGACCACTAGCAGCTTCTTCTGATCCTAGGCCCTCTGTTCCTCCTCCTGGTGGGTACAAGCAACAACAACCTATGAAACCTACTCCTAGCGGAATGGGTAGTGTGGGCCATTGCTTCCATTGTGGAGAGTCAGGACATAGGTCCTCAGAATGTCCCAACAAGCATAATACTAATGTCATGAGGGAAGACAGTGGTGGTGAAGCTGAAGGGGTTGACGAGTTGGTCAATGTAGACTATGAGGAAGAGGAGGTGAGTTACTTTCGTTGCTTTCCTCAAGCTTTTCTCGCAGTTAATGCAAACACTGATCCATTGATGTATCTGGTAGGCTTTGTCCGCAGACACCGAATGCGAGTGATGATTGATACAGGAGCTATGTACAGTGTGATATCCAAAGACGTAGTTAAGTTGTTAGGATTTAATGCTGAGCAAATGTTCGCCTATACACTTTCCGGTTTGCAGAAGGTGGGCAAGTAGCCCGAAAATTTGTGAGTGATGTTTCCATAAAAATATTTAAGTGGAAAGAAAGAGTGGACTTGGTAGTGTTGAAGATACCAAATTTTCAGATGGTGTTTGGTATGGACTTTTTCCACAAATACATAAAAGTGATTTATGGTGTTGGACAAAGTTGTATCACATTGAAGTCCAAAGGATATTCCTAATGTATCCTTCCAATTGCAAGTGCTCCTTCAAAGGATTGGGATGCAAAGTTCCTAACTGCAAGGGCCACTCAAAAAGTAGCTAAGAGGGGATGTCGGACTTTTTGGGTTCAAGTGATGGAAGCTGACGCGTGTTGGTGACTCAGTTCGAATTAGTGACAGAGTTGATGCTGTACCAACTAAGATATTGGAGTTGTTGGCAAGGAATTAGGATATTTTTTTGAAGGATTTACCACTAGGGCTACCTCCTAGCCATGATGTTGATCATCGGATTGAGGTTATTCTGGGTTTTAAACCACCTACAAAGGCTTTATATCGATTGAACATCAAGGAAATGGCTGAACTCAAGAAGCAACTCACAAAGCTTCTTGACAAAGGTCATATCCGACCAAGCAAATCACCTTATGGAGTGTCGGTCCTTTTGTTATGAAAAAGGATGGAACCATGAAGATGTGTATTGACTATTGGGCACTCAACAAGATCACAGTTAAAAATAGTTATCCTTTGCCTCACAGCGATGACTTATTTGACCAACTCTTAAAGGCTAAGTATTTTACGTGACTTGATTTGCGGTCTGGGTATCATTAGATACGGGTGGCAAATCAGGATGTGGAGAAGACAACCTTTAAGACTCGGTACGGATCTTATGAGTTCCTTGTCATGCCGTTCGGGTTATGCAATGCTTCAGCAACGTTCAGCACTATGATGGATAAAATATTCGAAGATTATTTAGACACATTTGTTGTCCTATACATCGACGATGTTCTAGTCTTTAGTGAAATGTTGGAGGATCATTTGAAACACTTGGAACTGGTGTTTCAAAAGTTATGCGAACATAAACTGTTGTAAGTGACTAATTTTTCCATTCTACTTTAGTCACTTAACCATACCTTCAACCACTTGGAGGAGTCTCACTCACAACCTCCATAAATTCCATTCTGGACTTAGGGACTTGCTAACCCTAACAATGACATCCATGCCACTCAATCATTACACTTGGTGCAAGTGCTCCACGTGTCCGATCCCAAGACTGACACCCAAAGGTACCACTAACATATCAGCCTGTTATGCTAAGGCCATGCCCATTCACCTTTGCCACACTCGTGGTCCAATACCACTTGCATCACAGTCCCGTCTCTCCAAGACTGGGCCATCCTAGATCCACTCCTTAGCATCCTTAGGATGCCCCCAGATATGGGGAATAACCTTCTCCAATATCCCTTTTGTCAGTTCCTACCAAGTCCCTTTTCCGTCCATGGCTATATTCGCCAACACTGCCACTAGATCAAGGCCCGCAGGCCCGGCCACTAAGTCTCATTGTCCTCTAGGACTTCCTCACCATGTGACCGTATCCTTAGTCACTACACTAGAGGACTGCTCCTCCTCCTTTCCCTCGTTTGGGACTTCGGGACACATTTCGGAACACCGAGGCCCTACGCGAGCCCCATGGGTACTCTTCCCACCTTCCGCCTTTAGGTGCTCTAGCCATGGGCTTAGAGCAAGGTTATGTTGAGCCACACTAGGTATCCAAGTAGGTAGTGCCACCCACACTTGGACTGGGAGCATTGACCATTCAATCTCCCGAGGGAACTAGAGTTGGCTCTTGAACACTTCACCAAGCTACCCCGCTTGACAGTCCATATTCACTCTAGTCTTGGACCTCTCAATGGTTATCCTATCACTCAACACCTACGTACAGCCTTCTTGGGCCAAACTGGCCTTTCCTGGCCAAATTGGCTCCACTGGAGTCCTCCCCCTTACTATACTTTTGGAGCTCACCAAACCCCCCAGAGTCTGGGAGACAAACGCTTTTGGCTTTCACCCTCTCAGACTCAAACTCGGACTCGGACTCTAACTTCGACTCAGACTTGGACTCGGACTCCGACTCAGACTTGGACTCGGACTCCGACTTAGACTCGGACTCGGACTCGGCCTCGGTCTCAGTCTCAGTCTTGCTGAATCTTGTAGAGAATAGAGCCCCGATCGAGCCAATGGAGGAAGGAGACGCGGAAAGTTTCAGCTGTTTGCCTGTCTTGCTTCCTAAGTACTGGGACAAAGATGGCGATTCGATGACGATCCAAGAACAGGATTCAGGTTGTTATCTCTACAGGCGTTTTGAGACACTTACTTAATTCGTCCTGATCTCGGTCCCAATCTCGGTCCCGGTCTCGACTTTGGACTCCATCTCGAGTCCTTCTCGGACTCCATCTCGGTCCATCTTGGACTCCATCTTGGGTCCATCTCAAACTCCATCTCGGGTCCATCTCGAACTCATCTCGGACTCCATCTTGGACTCCATCTCGGGTCTATCTCGGACTCCATCTCAGGTCCATCTCAGACTCCATCTCAGACACCATCTCAGACTCCATTTCGGACTCTATCTCAGGTCCATCTCGGACTCTATCTCGAACTCCATCTCGGGTCCATTTCTTAAAGACTCACTTATTGCTTGCTCCGTGCTTGTTCCTTGAGCACTTCATTGGGACTTCCACTCCCGCTTTCAACCCTTCAAGTTGGAGCTTTTAGTCCAAACGTGTTACACTCGTTTGGCTTTTGCTTCGGCCACTACCACATGGCAGCCTTTTGGCTCCACTTTGGGGCCTAGGGATTTTGTGTCTCACAACTGTATACTAAGGAAAGTAAATGTGCTTTTGGACAATTGCGCGTAAACTTTCTCGGACATATAGTTAGTGGTGGTGTAATTGAGGTTGATCCAAAGAAGGTGGAAGCGGTGAAGTCTTGGGAAGTCCCGACCACTGTATTAGATGTTTGTTCCTTTCTCGGTTTGGTGGGATACTATCGTAAGTTTGTTCACAATTTTACAAGAATTGCTCTTCCATTGACTAAGTTGACAAAGAGTAATATTCCGTTTCATTAGACACCAGCTTGTTAGTGTGCTTTTGTATGATTGAAGGAGATCTTGACTACAGTTCCTGTTCTCAGGATCCCAGATCTTGATAAACCCTTTGAAGTGCATTATGATGCATCTGGCTATGTTATTGATGCCGTGTTATAGCAAGATTGTGACAAAGAAATTAGTGTTACGCTAAGGCAATATGGTTATCCCGTTGCGTTCTATTCCAAGAAATTGGATGAAACTCAATGAAGATGGCCAATGCATGAGAAAGAGATGTTTGCTATAGTGTCGGCCCTGAAACACTGGAGACATTACTTGGGTGGACACACCAAGGTTTATAACCTCCATAAGTCCAATCCAGGGCTTGGGACTTGGGACTTGCTAGCCCCGAGAATGGCATCCATGCCACTCAACATTTGCACTTGGTCCAAGTGCTCCACGTGTCCGATCCCATGACCGACACTCAAAGGTACCACCGACATAGCAGCCCGTTACGCTAAGGCCATGCCCAATCACCTTTGCCACACTGGTAGTCCAATACCACTTGCATCACCGTCTTGGCTCTCCAAGACTAGGCAAACCATCCGTGAGTGGTCATCTCAGATCCACTCCTTAGCATCCTTAGGATGCCCACCGACAAGGGGAATAGCCTTCCCCAATATCCCTCTGTCAGTCCCCACTAAGTCCCTTTTTGCCCCTGGCCGTGTTTGCCAACACTGCCACTGGATCGAGACCCACAGGCCCGACCACTAAGTCCCACGGTCCTCTGGGACTTCCTCACCACACGACTGTGTCCTTGGTCACTACCCCAGAGGACTGCTCCTCTTCCTTTCCACAGTCTGGGCCTTTGGGACAACATTTCGGAACACCGTGGCCTTACGCGAGCCACCTGAGTACTCTCCTCGCCTTCTGCCCTTGGGTGCTCTAGCCATGGGCTTAGAGCGGGTTCCGTTGAGCCACACTAGGTATCCAAGTAGGTAGTGCCACCCACACTTGGACTGGGAGCATCGGCCAGTCGATCTCCCGGGGGAACTAAAGCCGGCTCTTGAACACACCCCGCTTGTCGGTCTGTGTTCACTCTAGTCTTGGACTTCCCAGTGGGCAGCTCATCACCCAACACTGGGTCTGGCCTTCCTGGGCCAAACTGGCCTTTCCTGGCCAAACTGGCTCCACTGCAGTCCTCCCCCTACTATACTTTTGGAGCTCACCAAACCCCCCAGGGTCTGGGAGACGAACGCTTTGGGCTTTCACCCTCTCAGGCTCCGGACTCGGACTCGGACTCGGACTCGGACTCGGATTCGGATTCGGACTCGGCCTCGGCCTCGGTCTCGGTCTCGGTCCCGATCTCGGTCTCGGTCTCGGTCTCGGTCTCGGTCTCGACTTCGGACTCCATCTCGGACTCCATCTCGGACTCCATCTCGGGTCCATCTCGGGTCCATCTCGGACTCCATCTCGGGTCCATCTCGGACTCCATCTCGGACTCCATCTCGGACTCCATTTCGGGTCCATCTCGGACTCCATCTCGGACTCCATTTTGGGTCCATCTCGGGTCCATCTCGGACTCCATCTCGGACTCCATCTCGGGTCCATCTCGGACTCCATCTCAGACTCCATCTCGGGTCCATCTCGGACTCCATTTCGGGTCCATCTCGGGTCCATCTCGGACTCCACTTCGAACTCCAACTCGGGTCCACCTCGGACTCCACTTCGGACTCCATCTCGGACACTCCCACATGTCATGTGTTGGTCCTTTTGGGTCCCTTTTTGGAGCCTCGCCTTTTGCTCGCTTCGTGCTCGTTCCTCGAGCACTTCATTGGGAGTTCCACTCCCGCTCTTGACTTTTCAAGTCGGAGCTTTTGGTCCAAACGTATTACGCTCGTTTGGCTCTTGCTTCGGCCACTACTATGTGGCGCCCTTCCGGCTCCAATTTTGGGGCCTAGGGATTTTGTGTCTCACACTTCGTTGAAAAAGGGATTTTTCTAGTATGGAAGGTGATGTGGTGGACTATGTCTGTTCCTACCCTATATGCCAGCAATGTAAACGCAAAGCTGAGAAGCAGGCTGGAAAGTTGCAGTGCATTCCAGCATCGGCATGGCCATTTTAGAGTGTGACACTTGATTTCATCACTTGCTTGCCGAAGTCTAAGGGTTATAATACTTTGATGGTGGTTGTGGATCGGTTGTCGAAGATTGCACACTTCATTCCAACTGTGGGAACAGTAAATGTGAAACAAGCAGCAAAGCTCTTTTTCCATGAAGTAGTGTGGGTTTGTGGTCTTCTTAAAGAGATGATCTCGAATAGAGATTCAAGATTTACGGGGAAGTTTTGGGGCACACTATTCCAATTGTTTGGTACTAAGTTGAAGTTTAGTACAGCTTATCATCCTCAAGCTGATGGGCAGACTGAACGTGTGAATGCTCAAGTAGACGATTATCTACGATACTATATTGCAGTGGACCAATGCGACTGGGTTGAGCATTTGGACATAGTAGAAATCTATTATAACAACACATTTCATAGCGCTATATGCTGTTCTCCATGGGAGATGCTGCAAGGGAATGCTCGTGGGGTGCCTCAACAGATTGTTGTACCGAAACCAATGTCCGAACTGTTGGTCCCGGCTATTGAGACTTATACAGAGCAGCTACGCCAAGGTTGGTCTAGAGCTACTGAGGCGATGGGCAAAGCTCAAGATAGGTATCAGTGTGATAAGGATCAACATCATCAGGATGTATCCTATCAAGTGGGAGATCAAGTGTGGCTATCTTCCAGAAACTTGAACATTAAGGGTTTTTTGTCTCGAAAGCTTTTGCTAAGATATGTTGGACCCTATCAGATATTAAAACGCATTGGTGATGTATCCTATTAGTTGGATCTGCCTGCAGAGATGTCCAATGTTCATAATGTATTTCATGCCAATCTATTGGCTCCTTATGCTATGGATGTTGCATGTCAAAGGGAGATTCGTTCACCACCAGACGTTGTGGACGGTGAACCAGAATACGAAGTTGAAACTATCTTGGATTCCCGGTTTCGGAGACAAGCTCATGCAAAGGAATACTTAGTTAAATGGAAAGGTTATCCGACTTGTGAATCAACTTGGGAACCTCTTAGGAATCATACACATGCTCATAAGCTTGTCACGGAGTATGAGAATCGTAATAAAGAATAGTTTTGTAACTCTTATAATAAATCTTGCAAATCAATAAAGTAATATCTTTTTTTATAAATGAAAGTTTCATTTTTCTCATTAGTATTTAGGTCAGTATTGGCAGGCTGACTTCGGCACTTCGGTGCATGGGTCCAATCCATAACCATGGGGATACCTATTATAGACTGATCACAAGTCCTTGCCTCTCTCTCGATGACTCATTTTTGAAAAGGGGCATGGTCGTGTAAACAACTTAATCTGCCAATTTATAGTAGTTGTCTAAATCTTCCCGACAGGGTTAATTTCTTGCTCAGGGGCAGTTAGGCCTCTAGCCTTCTCTCTATGTCTCTATGGGTAGGGATCTATCATTCCTTTGTAAGCCGAGTGGTACTTGGAGCAGCAAGGGTGGCTAACTCCATTAGTCATTTCCTTGTCGGCGACGGCCGGAGGATGTCTGAGTCTTAACGTCTTTGGACGTAGAGGAGAGGTCATTCCATAACTCATTTAAGTTGCTGTGTTTCCCATATAGTGTGCTTTCCATTAACTTTCGGAGTTGTTTCCTTGATGGTTTGCTAGACTCAGGTATGCATCGACGAGGACGTCGATCTTCCCTAACGGGGGGAAAGTGTCGCGAATGTGACTTCAGGTATTAAAAGATACTTGTCGGCCAATCCTTATGGACACTCTTTCCTTACTGTTATGACGGCAGGAGGTCGGTAAAGTTGGATCGCTTTGGTAGCCCCTCTTGTGCTAGTGGAGTTAACTAGGTATTTCGAGTGTACTTAGACCAAACGAGCATAAGGACGGAATTCTTACGTCTATTAGCTAAGCATATTTAGCCCGATAAGGAGTTCCTGTCTTGTTATGTCTTGCATTGGCTAGTGACAAAAACCCTCGCGTATTGAGACTAGTCCCTCAATATCACTGAATGATAGTTTACTGTATCTGCCAAACACCCTTGCTATCATGCCCTTTATATTAGTCTCATTTCGGTCCCAAATGCTATTTATGGAAAGTGTTTAGATTCGCTCATTTGGCATATCTACAAAATATAGAGATCAGCCTGAACACAATGGTGTTCGTCTTGTGTCTAAATTTGCAATCTAAGGACATTTCATATTTAGTAAGTTTCAAGCTTGTCCCAGAGACTAACTCCTGGTACTAAGGAAGGCTTAGGGTGAAAGCCCAAAGCATGTGTTCCTTAAAGGGGGGTTATAGAGGGTTCCAAATGTATAATAGGGATAGTGGTTGGAATGCATGTTCGACCACCTGAAACATTAGTTTGGCTTTCGCTTGGCTGTGTCGCTCTTTGTTCTGCATCCGGCTTAGGTTTAAGCCCAAGCTCCACATTGCTCTAGTCAGTGGGGTACCCTTCTCCTTGCATTAGGCCACTGGTATGCCAAAATTGTGCCCACCTTTGTTTGACACCATTTTGCATGTAGGTGCTGGATATGGGGAGTTGGTGCTTATGGAATTGTACCAAACCCTCATTTCGTAGCACAATGAGCTTGGAGTTTAGCTCCAAATTCAAGTGCACTACACTTAGGCTAGATATTAGGAACAATCATTTAGTTCTTTTACTTCTAAATTCTAAGAGAGCTTGGATTCTTTAGATGTTAAGAAATAAATTTAAACATAGTGTTGCAAGGGAATCTGAGATTATATGAAAATCAGTCTTTAATTAGAATTGCCAACGCCTGTTATATCCAATCTCAATAATAAATCTACACTAAACACTTGAAATAATCTCTAAATATACCTAGAAATATGCCTAAAATCTAAATTCAACAAAGGGAACACCCAAACTCTAATGCGGCAAGAACCCCTAGGCTATGATGTGGAAAAAATGCATAGGCTGCAAGCTAGAGAAGAAAAACCAAGTCTTATATATAGATAAAAGAATATGAATTGATGTTGAGAGCTAAGATGCTAGCAAGAATTAAAAACCAAAGAAGAGAAATAAGAATAAGGTATTAAGTTTAAAAATACAAAAAAAACAATAAGGGAAAAACTGTGGGATCAAACTAAAGTCTAAACCTAAGAAAATGGAGAAAATAGGAAATGACAAAAGATTAAAAAAAAAAAAAACAAGATAAGGAAGATAGTCCCAAACTTTTTAGCCTTTAAACATATATAGCATTGCACTTTAAATACTTTTGTCCTATGAAATAAAGGAGAAAAAGAAGGGATGTATTGTCTAAGGATGTAAATGGATAGATAGAAAAGTGAGAGAAATGCCACTTTTAGTGATGACTAAAGCCTATGATAAATCCCTATAAATTAAAAAAAGAGGCAAATTATTAATACAAATAGATTATCTACACTAAAAACTAATGCTCATTAAGAGAGGTGGAATGGGATAGAAGCCACTCTGAAAGATAAACTTAGGTGCTTCTAACCAACCACTATAAATCTGAACTTGTTGTTAAGTTGAAATTGCTATGCTAATCAGGTTATGGCTGTAATTTATATAATAATTAATATTTAGCTGGAACTTAGATGAGTAAGCTGAATATGGAAAACCATTGAATAAAATGTCAAGCAAGTTGTGGTGTCATAAAAATGAATGGAAGTGGCAATGCTATAGACAATGATTAGAAGCAATAATAATGAGAGAAATGGTAAAATTAATGAAGAGGAAAAACCAGTTTTCTCACTTTATTTTTATGCCCTTCACTTCAAGTAGTTCAATTATAGGAATGCTCTTAAACCATGGTTCTTAGCCTCAGATTATTTTTATTTTGATAATCTGTAAGATTTGAGTTTTTTAGATCATGCTAAGAGTTTCTAGCCTAGCTCTTGTTTGGTTTTTACAAAAAATCTTGCTTGGGGTTGAAGAGCACAATGAGGTTGATAATCATAAATAACCTCTTTAGCAATCCCACTGCTGCAGTAGTGCTCAAAAGTAAAGAATTAAGAGGAAAACAAAAAAAGCATAATGAAAAAGAAAGGGGAAGAAAGCATACAATGCTTGATTGTTTAAGGTGATAATAATGCATACAAAAGATCATGTTATATCTAAGTTTCCAATTGTTAAATATCATTTATAGCTTGAGGTTGATAACTGCCCCTTCACTGATTATAGGCTCTTCCATGGCATGGGATGCATGAAAAAGGGCATTGTTACAAATGTGACAAAGGTGTGCATAAATTGCATCCACCATCTTTGTTACTATGAAACTAAATTTTACTCTATATTTAAGACAACATAAAAGTTGTTGCTCCTCAAAATCCTTAATCTTATGTTTGCTTTTGCAATCCAGAAACTTACATGCAACAAACCTAATATCTTGTCTAATGGATGAAGAATCTGTAAAGGAGTCCCCTAAAGGCTATTCTAAAAATCTATTTGTCAAAAAGCCAAAGAAAGTGAACTTGCAAGTGAACTACCACAGAAAGTGAACTTGCATTGATAAAGGTCATGGAACCCAAAAGAATTCCTAAAATAACAAGTCAACACCTTGGGATGGATAGATCTCTTCCAAAAGTCTCCAAGAGTTACCTCTAGGGAAGACTTTCCTACCATCAAATACTAGCAAACCAAACTTATGAATTTTGATTTGCTCCAAAGGTTGAAAATCCTCCTTAGGCCTCTTCTGTTTGTTGTATATAGTTAGATCAACATTAGAATCTTGGGAATTTTTGTGATTGGTTGATCTTGACTAGGTTCTAAGAGTTAATATAGGAGGAGTAATATGAAAATATTATCTAGTCAGATTCCAAATAAGTGATAAAATTGCAATCCATAACCTTGGTTTTTGACAACCATGAGAATGCAATTAAACCTAAGTTGTAAAGTGGAATTTGTGGAGTCATGAGAAGGTGATGAAAGACTTCTAAAAACGAAAAAGGATAAATGTAATGGGAGGGGAATAGATAGATTGTGTAAGGAATGGAAAATTATTTTTTGGAGGATAACTAAAGCAATCTATGAATATAGAACTCTTGTTATAAATCATATCTAGAAAAATGAGTGGTAAATCTAGAGGCTATCAAACATGTCAATCATCATTATACTTCTTTGCCAATAATTTGTACAAACTCATACAAAACTAGCAAAGAAATTCTAGACATATGGTAAGGCTCAGCAAGTTGGGAATGTATAACTTTTTACTTGAGGTGTAGCTACATTGGGTGTGAGTTTGATCAATGCAAATGCTTTTGTGGCGATTCTGGCTCATCTTACATAGTAGCATGGATTATGCCTGAGCTTGACAAGTTTCGAGTGAATGCCATGGTGGTGCTTATAGCTCTCTCTTGCTTAGGTACATAGAAAATTGCTACAGGCCACAGGGATGATCAGGGAACTAAAAATCCAATAATCATAAGAATTTAAAAGCAAAAAAGATCTAGAGACTACAAAAACATGTAGATCAAATAAAAAACTAAATGTTGTTTGCTATGAACCTTTTCATTTTCTCTAGAACTCACTTTGGAATTCAAATACTCCATAGCTGAAAAGTGAGGCATCAAGATTGCAAGCAACCTATCTTTACTTCAATAATGAATTTATTCTAAACACTTAGAGTATATTCTAAAATACTAAATGTCCCACATATCAAAGTAAGTGTAAGACTGAAATGCTCTTTTTTCTTGGCAGAATATGAAAAAAGAGATTATTGAGTGTTTAGAAGCACTCAAGTCATCAGAGTCTACAAGCTTTCAACAAGTAAAACAAGTTCACTCTCGTATTGCAGAATCCCATGTTTTATGTAGAGACTCTCGTATAGTAAATCTTCTAATTCAAATCTATGGTAGCTTGGGATGCCTTGGCGAGGTATATTGCATTTTCAAGACCCTACACCGACCTAGCATATTATCCTGGAACATTGTCCTTGCGGCATATGCTCAAAATGGGTATCTTGAAGAAACAAAGTCTGTGTTTGATCGAATGCCCGAAAGAAACATTGTTTCCTTTACTACAGTCCTTTCGACATTTGCTAGTGCAGGCTTTATTGACTCAGCCAAGGAAGTCTTTGAGACAATGCCTGAAAGAAACGTAGTCTCATGGAATGCAATGCTGACTGCATTTTCCCAACAAGGGCATCTTGAGGATGCGCAGATTCTTTTTGAAAAGATGCCAGAACATACTGCTGTGTCATGGAATGTGCTTATCAACGCTTATGCAGAGCGAGGAGTTTTAGAACGAGCTCAACTGGTGTTTGAAAACGTTCCCCAAAAGGATGTTTATTGCTGGACTATTATGATCACTGCAAATGCCATCAAAGGAAATCTGGATAGCGCTTCTAAGCTCTTTCGAGATATGCCGCAACACAGCATTGTGACATGGACGGCCATGGTACAGGCATTTGGAGAGAACGGGAATATCCAAGAATCTCTAAATTATTTCTCCAAAATGCCCGAGAGAAACTCTTTTGCATGGACGGCATTGATCATAGCTCACATCCACGGGCGGGATTTGGATGGCGCTACAAGGACATTCCGGAATATGCCCGACCACAACATTGTCTCGTGGACGGCGATGATCCACGCGCACGCGGAATGCGGCAACATCGACGGCGCCAAGGCCGTGTACGACACCATGCCTGAGAGAAACGTGGTGTCGTGTACGGCCATGCTGGTGGCATACTCCCAGGCCGGACACGTGGACACGGCGCGTCGAGTGTTCGATTCCATGCCTTTCCACAACGTCGTGGCGTGGAATGCCATGGCGGCGGGATATGCCTGCCAGGGGGACCTTTGGACAGCCAGGATGATGATGCGCAGCTGCCCGGAGAGGAATGTGGTGTCGTGGACGGCTATGATGGCGTCGTACGCCCAGTACGGTCACTTCAACATTTCGGAATCTTTCTTCCAGCGCATTCCGGGGCGGAATCTTGTCACCTGGAACGCGTTGATCGCCGCCGCCGCCCAATCCGGCCACGCACGCCTTGCGATCGAGCTCTTTCACGAGATGATCGTGGAATCGGTCGAGCCGGACGAGATCTCCTTCATGATCGCGCTCGCGGCGTGCGCCCACCTAGGGCTGCTGGATCTCGGGCGCAGCTACTTCGCGTCGATGCTGGTCGATCACGGCGGCGGCCTGGCGGCTTGCAAGGAGCACTACACCTCGATGGTGGATCTCCTGGGACGCGCGGGCCAGATCGATGCGGCGGCGGAGCTGATCGACACAATGCCGTTCGTGCCCGGCGGAGTCTCCCTGGTCGCGATCCTGGGCTCGTGCCAGACGCAGCGAGATCTGCCGCGAGCGACACGGGCGGCCAGGAGATTGCTGGAGATTGATCCGCGCAACTCCAGCTCCCACGTCCTCCTGTCGAGCTCCCTCAGGAATTAGCGTTCCTGCGGTGAGAAGGAAATCCTCGTTGTCAATCCTGCCAACGTGGCACCGAACCGCGTCTCCACGTGGACACCATCGCTCTTTCCCACTTACGTGTTCCTTCCTTCACGTATAAGCCAATATGTCTGTCCATTTTCAAGTAAGAATAGAGACAGGACACCGGATCGACTCCTGTCCGATTACGTAAGAAAAAGACGAGCTCGGGTAATGACATGGGCGGGGGAAAAGCGATAAAAATACGAACAGCATGTCATATCCGTTTTATCACAAAGGGCTTGATGCGAAGCTTCCCGGTGGTTTGAGGGATTTTCCCCGGACAAAGGGTGCCACGGAGGGTTTTTCCCTGCCACATCAGCATCTTCCCCAAGGGAAATCCCCTTGGAAATAATAGCTGGCAAAGGGAGGGGGGCAAATATACACACACGCGAGAGAGCCGAGAGAGAGAGAGGCGATGGCGCTGACGATCGGCAATGGCGCCACACCGCGCCGGGAGTGGCAATGCCAGTAGCTAGGCGTAGCGGCAGATCACAGGGATTTCTACGCGGGCGGCGCCATAGATCAGCCAAAATGCAGGTCCACATCTCGCCTAGTATGCGGCGCATCACGATTTCTACATCGAATGGCTTCCTGGATCCCTTGAAGATCAAGGTCGCGGCGCGCTACCTCTCGCATCGATGCCTCTTCTGGTCGATTCTGTTCCTTGCCTTTTTGCTGCCTTTCATCTTCATTACCACGGCGCTCATCACGCTCGAGGAGGTCAACAAGTGCTCGTCAATGTGTAAGCTCCTCGATCCTTTTCTTGCGCCAATCCATCGTTCTCCCTCTCTTTTCTCTCTCTCTCTTTCTATCTTTCCAATTAGCTATAGAAAACGCGTGGTGCTGCGATGGATTGGCTCTTTCCCGGCGCAACGCTTGGATCTTTCGATCGACTGATTGGCAACGCTTGGATCTTGGTTTTGCAGATTGCTTAGGGAGGAAAATAGGACCCAAGCTTCATTGGAGGAGCGATCCCACGGTGAGTTCTTGTCGAGCACTCTCCTTTTTATTATTCGCGGCCGCTCGGCCGTGGTCAAACAGTAGAGACGCGTAGTAACGGGATTTTTTTCTATGTGGGCAGAGGCAATCCAGACATGTCCACTCCATCGTCATGCAAGCGTCAAAGTCGGATCTCCCCGCGGGCGAAAACGTGCCAGAGAGTTTTAGTGAGTTTGTGGCCGAGGTGGAGGCGAATCGCTACGATGGCAAGACGTGCATTCTAAAGCTCAAGGCTATGGTAAGTTCTTTCTCCATGATTTTCCTCTAGAAGTTCTTCATGTCTTTGTTCTCCCTCTCACAGTTGGAACTTCAAGAGCAACGAACGAGAACTGCTAAGCTGCAAGAAGCAGTATACAGGCATTTTGCTTCTAGCGGGATTCCAAAGAGTATGCACTGTCTTGCGTTAAAACTTACTGCCGAGTACTCGTCCAATGCTAATGCCAGAAGAGAGCTGCCATCGCCCGAGCTTACGTACAGACTGACCGATCATTCTTTCCACCACTTTGTCCTGGCCACGGACAATGTGCTCGCGGCCTCTGTGGTTGTATCGTCGGTCATTCGAAACAGCGCGCAGCCTCAGAAGGTGGTGTTCCACGTTGTGACTGACAAGAAGACGTATGCTGCGATGCATGCGTGGTTCGCTTTGAATCCGCTGCCTCCTGCGATCGTCGAAGTGAAGAGCTTGCATCAGTTCGAGTGGCTCACCAAGGACAACATTCCGGTTCTGGAGGCTATGGAGAATCATAGCGACATTCGCAGATACTACCACGGGGATCATACTGCTGGTGCCGACTTAAATGTTTCTCCGACCATTTTAGCATCGCGGCTGCAGGCTCGAAGTCCCAAGTATATCTCCATCTTGAACCACCTGAGGATATATCTTCCAGAGGTAAGCTTTTGCTGCGAAATTGAGATCATTTATTGACCGGTTTCTTCTTTTGTTCTCGGCAGCTGTTTCCTGAGCTTGACAAAGTCGTGTTCTTAGACGACGATGTCGTGGCTCAGAAGGACTTGTCTCCATTATTTGGAATCGATCTCAATGGCAGAGTTAATGGAGCCGTAGAAACCTGCCGAGGGGAGGACCCGTATGTTATGTCCAAGAGGTTCAAGACTTACTTCAACTTCTCGCATCCTCTCATAGCAAATCACTTCGACCCGGAAAAATGCGCCTGGGCGTATGGGATGAACGTATTTGATTTGCAAGCTTGGAGGAGAACGGACATAACCAAGACATATCACTACTGGCAAAAGCAGGTTCGTTTGTCTTGCCATTACAGTTTGTTTTTTTGTTTTTTTCTTCTCTAACGCATGCTGTCTGACGTTGTTTATAGAATCTCAACTCTAACTTGACACTATGGAGACTAGGTACTTTGCCTCCGGCACTGATTGCTTTCGATGGCTACGTATATCCTATAGACTCCCAATGGCATATGTTGGGCCTGGGTTACCATGTCAAGAGCAACCTGGACAGCGTTCAAAAGGCCGCTGTGATTCACTACAACGGGCAAGCAAAGCCGTGGCTGGACATCGGGTTCTCAGTGCTAAGGCCGTTTTGGACGAAGTATGTAAACTACTCGAACGAGTTCATTAGGCGGTGTAATATTTTGGAAACTTAGGACGAGATGCCATCTCTGTTCATACCATTCTTTGGAGGAGAGGTACCGCAGCAATTATCATCGTCATCTTCGTCATCGTCATCTCATCCACACGGGAATAAAAGGATTTAGCAGCAACTTTTTTTTTAAGCTCGGTCCATCGTCGTCACGGTGAAAGAGGGTCGTTACTTCAGTGCTACTGGCTGCCGCCATCACGTTTCTTTGCTTGGTTTTAAGAAGCGAGAGGCAGGCACGCAAAGCATCGAAGATTTTGAGATATATTTCAGTGAAAGAAAAGAGGTGAAGTTACTGGTTTCCAGGTAACCAAAAGAGAGGTCGCTCAATTATTTCGGTTCGGTGCATTACTTTGATACTTTCTCCTTTCTTTAACGACTTGATAGTGCTTGCAGTGTCTTAAAAGAGTATTTTAAGGACTCTCGTTACTTTTAAGTTGCGCTTCTACTGGACAGCACACATGAAAAGAGGCATGGCACGGCAGCATTGTGGGCGCAAGGCAACGGGCTTAATGACGAGAATCCAAGGTGCGTGAGTGAGCTTTACTTTTCTTTCCAGTTGCCAGGATGTAAGATAACTAGTAGTGGCGAGAGACCGCGACACATATTTTATGCTGCAATAAGCAGACAAATGTGTACTGGGACCAGCCTTTCAGGATTCTGATTGCAGCAGCATGTTCACATCACGACGACTTAATGGTCTCGAGGAAACGTTTTCTCACCTTTATCTTGGAAGCTCCGTACAACAGTCTCCCGGAATGCAAAAGTAGGGAGCATCAGCAAGCACAGGGCAGAGAAAGAATGGGCTCGAAAGGAAAGATTTGTGGAGCAATTTGTCCTGGCGCTACTTACCAGTACTTTTCCTTTAGGACTCGGATGTGCTGGTGTTGCTGTTCTTGCTGGATGGGATGGAACAAATTCTCAAGGTACTCAAAACAAAACATATCTTTTTTATTTGCGACCTTTCTCATTATCTTGCTGCTTAGGTGGTGACGGTGCTGTCGGTGCTGCACCACCTGTTGTAGGCCTGCAAAAGGAAGAAGGTTGTGATCATGAGACTATCAAATCAATGGGATGTAGTGTATAGTAAAGGGATGAAGGAAACAGGCAGACAGGCAGGGGGGCAGGCAGGCTCGAAGAAAATTCAAGGCTCAGCAAAGCTCAGTTCAGCAGGGATCAGGGGAACTTACAATCCAACAAAAACTTTGAAGGCGTCGTAGATCCCCCATTGTGCTCCTGTCAGCGTCCCGACCATGACAATCCGGAGAGGGAGACCTCTGGTCATCAAGCCAACGAGTCCCATCTTTTTAATAGCCTGCAAGCGAGCAACGTGACAAGAATGATTGGTGGTTTTATACCACAGGTGTTGAAGCAGCAGTACCAGCAGCAGCAACAGGTAGTTTAGAAGGATTTTCTAGCGACAGGATTATTTAGGATAAGCTGACTTACGTCGCCGACTGTTCCGCCTTTGGTGCTGTTGAGGAAGGAGACGAGATTGTCTGCCGGATGGGAAACTACTGCACAGAAAATACCAGCAATGTATCCGGCTGCGAAGCTAACTTCCAGTTGCGTGAGCTTGGAGCATTTCTCCTTTGGTACCGGGACGACGTACTTGTAGAGGGCCTCCACCGTGCCTTCGAAGCAAGCAAACTTCATCATCGTGTCTGCGAGGAGATGAAGGGAAAATAAGTTATGGTCAGGATTCAACTCAGCAGGTGGAAAGAATGGATCATTACAGGGAATTTGTCGACCCCACAGTGGCGCAAGTCCCTTGTACAACCTGCGATACATCCAAAGGACACTCACGAGGTTAGTCGCAACTTTATATTATCATTTTAAGGTGTGTTGTGACTTTGCTTTTAATGTTTAGTTGGAAGCCGCAAGAATGTACCCGCCGTATCCTTCTTGTGCCACAAACTTCGAAAACCCATCCCTCAGTCCGTTAGCAAAGCCGGGCTTGGTCTGCACACGGACCTTGATCGCTTCGAACGGGCACAGAGCGATATCGGCGAAGAACTCCGCGGATGCTGAGCCGGCCAGGTAGACGAATGTCTTGTAGTCGTGGGCGACTTCCTCTCCAACCATGTCAGCGTAAAACTTTTTGAAAAACTCGTACAGCCCGAACTTGCAGGCTCCCTGTGCGCTGTAGCCGATGAGAGTCGGCCCCCAGCCTTTGAACAGGCCCTTGGGACCTTGCTCCTGTTTGATGATGGAGAAGCCGGTCCCTATGCTCTTATACTTCTTCGGATCAATCTGTAAGTGGTTTTGAATTGTTTTTTTTTTTAGTTTCTCCATTCGTTGTTTTAACTCCTTTTCAGGCTCGTACCTGCATGTTACACTTGACGATGTCCAATGGCGTCACGAAAGTGTGGGTGAGGCCACAACTTAGAATCCCTCCGGCGGTGCAAGCAGCGTAAAACTCGGCCGAGTAGAGTGGGATCTTCCCCGGCTCGCTCGCCGCAGGTATGAAGAATCCTCCTCTTTGTCCATCCGCTGACACCGGTGGTGCGTTCTTTCTCTCCCCGCCAGGACGCAGCATCGCTCTTATGCTTCTCGGTGGCGAGAAAATCCCGGACAAAGATTTCCGCCATGAGGAGAGCCGAGTGGGACTGGACGATGGAGGAGAAGGCGACAGCAAGTCCGAGCTTGCGGAGGGTCTCAGGGAAGAGAAAGCGCTGCCGTGGTACAAATGCGTGGGTAAGTACGGCCTTCTCGTCGTCTCATCCCTGTGAGTTATAACTCCCAACATTCTTGGAATTCTCAGGCTGCCAGCGTCTGGGCCCCTCCTGGAAGATTTGCCATGGAATCGTCCTCACCTCTCTGCCTCGCGAATCAAAATTCTGTGCCATCGATCGCCACCAAATCCATCGCCCATGTCGAGAAAAATTTGTTCCACTTGCCCGGACACGGGTCTCTTAACCGCCAATCTAGGTTAACATAAAAACTCAAAACTCGTTTAAGTTATTTGAAAATCTCCCGCGCAAAAATTGTCCACAGCGCTAAAAAAAGTTTATATACTGTGATGACGCTTCTCACGAGGATAGCTTCCGTGCCGCCGCCTTCCTCTTTGTACTGTCCAGATACTTTTTACGAAGTCGGATTGCTTTGGGAGTCACCTAGAAAAAAAAAATGCAAAAAAAGAAAAAAGATTTTTCCAAGAAAGCAATTACCTCAATCAGCTCGTCCGCTGCAACGTATCCAATAGCTTCCTCCAGAGTGACCTGACCAACAAAACAATTTGCGTGTAAGTGATCTCTAGCGAAACAAACGAAAAGCTCTTGTTACCAGTCTCGGGGGAGTGAGCTTGACGTTTTCATCTTTCCCAGGAGCACGTATGTTTGTCAGCTCTTTCGCTTTCACAGGATTCACCTGCAAGTTTAGTGGCTGTTAGCGGCGGAAATTTTTCGAAGAAGAGCGCAGTGATTTACGTCGAGGTCCGCGTCTCTACAGTGTTCTCCTACGATCATGCCTTCGTATGCCTGTGGGCGTTTTTGCCAGAGAAGGAAGTCAATCTCGAGTTTGTTTAAAAAAGTACCTCGTCCCCCGGTGGAACAAACATGGTGCCTCGAGACTCTAGTCCCATTAGAGCATACGCGGTGATTACTCCTTGTGCAGTGGAGACCTGTGTAAACAAAGACGAGCTGATTAAAGCGCGTGGTAAACTTCGAGAAGACTTACCAAAACTCCTCGCCTGACATTTCCAACTGGACCTCGAAATTTGTCATAAGCTACAGGAAGCCAGGTACAGAAAGTCAGAAGAGAAAAATGTTAAAAGAAAATGGCACTGACATAAGAAAGCCCGATGCATGAAACCTGTGCCATGGGTGATGGTGCTAAACGAGCTTCGATAGCCGACCAAGCCTCTGTTTGATTTTTTACGACAAATTTTTAGTCAAAGCTCAAACCATGAAATATTTTACCTTGATGGACAAGTGAAAGTCATTGTAGTGCGACCAACAGACTCGGGGCATGGCGACATGTCAAGAAGTTCCGCACGCCTATGAGTAAGGGACTCGATAACTGTTCCAGAATGTTCATCGTTCACCTGAGGTGGTTTAAGTCAATCTCTATAAACACTGTTCCACATTTGAAATACCTCGATTCGAAGTTCTTCTATAGGTTCTAGTTTTTGGCCGTTTTCAGTCTTATAGCTGCAGGAAATACACAGGATAAGAACCGTTTATATAACGAGGACGAAGTATCGCTTACAGAACTGCGGGTGGCGAAACAGATAGCTCAAAACCTTCTCGTCGCATGTTTTCTATCAAAATTCCTGCACCGGGAATCATCAAACCATTCTTAAACCATTCTTAAAAAGAAAAGAAAATTACCGAGTTGCAGCTCGCCTCTGCCCTGTACTTCATAAGCGTCATTCGAGGTTGATCTGAGAACTTTAATGGACACATTGGATTCTTCTTCAGCCTTTAGACGATCGCCAATCTTGGGTCCTGTGAGCTAACAATGAAAAGCTAGTATCAGCCAAATCAAGCAAATCTTGGCAGCTTACTTGTTTTCCATCCTTCCCCGCAAGCGGTGAATCATTAACACTGAAAGTCATAGATATTGTCGGCGGGTCCACTTTCACCGCAGGTAAAGCTTCCTTTACCTACATTGTGCGTGCACTGGCATAAAAAGCTTGTCGAGAAAAAGTAGCAACTAACCTCCACTGAAGCCACAGTATTCCCAATATATGGTTGAGCAAGACCCGCAATAGACACAATATCTCCCGCGCCAGCGCAGTCGGCCACTTCAGATGCAACGCCTTTCTTTTTCAAAATCTTGACAATCTGCTCGTAAAAGTGTAAGTCACAGCTCTTTAAAACCAAAGGACTTACTTTCCCTTCGTTAAATGTTTCGCTGATATCAGTGTCTTCCTTTTTGCGTATTCCATGGACTCTGTCACCCGGTTTCACAGTCCCTGAGTAAATCCGTCCAGTCAATATGCGACCAAAATATGGATCATGCTCCATCATTGTGACCTGCGCTACTTGTGAAATAAAGGAAAACATCTGAAACTACACTGCCTCTTACCACCATTTGAAATGGCGCATGTAGATCACACTTTGGTGGAGGAACATATTTTACAATTGTATCGAGAAGCGGAGCCATAGTGGGTTCTCCTTCTGGTGCCTTTGTGAACGTAGAAGAAGCCCATCCCTCCTTGGCAGAAGCGTACAAAACTGGAAAGTCTAGTTGCTCCTCTGTAAAACAAGGAAGAAGAAAAATTAAACGAGTGAAGGCTGGGAAAAATTACTGCTTACCGGTAGCACCAAGGTTTGCAAAGAGATCAAAAACCATGCTTTCCACTTCTCCGCACCTTTCTTCCGTAACTAGAGAATGAAAAAACAAAAGCATCACAATTTTTCCAAGGAGTCGTATCTACATACCTGACGGACGATCGACCTTGTTGAGCAGCAATATAGGACGAATCCCCGACTTTAGAGCTTTGGCGACCACAAACTTTGTTTGTGCAAGGGGCCCCTCGCCAGCATCGACAACGAGCACAGCTCCATCAACCATGCCAATAACTCGTTCAACCTGTCAAAAGAAGAAGGAAATTTCTAAACAGGAACGACGAAGAAACTTTCATACCTCTCCACCAAAATCTGCGTGACCAGGAGTATCAACAATGTTGAGAGAACTGGTTCCCCAGATCATAGAAGTATACTGCCAAGAGCACACACTCTTAGCGCAAGAAGAAAAAAAAAAAAAAAAACGAATGCATACCTTGGAAGCAATTGTGATACCACGCTCCCTCTCGAGCGTGATGGAATCCAAAGTTCTATCTCTGGCGACAATTGCCCCGCACTGCCTGAGAAGCCTATCCATGAGAGTCGTCTTACCGTGATCGACGTGCGCAATCACAGCCAGATTCCGGATCAAAGAAGGGCTCGTCACTCGCTCCGCCGGATTCGAATCCGCGGAGGAGGCGGCGGCCACGGCGAAATGCCTGCTCCAGCGCCACAACGCCGCCGCCCTGGAACCGCAGAATCCATCGGCAGTGGCGCTCCACAGCGCCCTGCGCAGCATTTCTCTCCCGCCGAGAGAGAGATATTTCCCACCCTAGGGTTCTTGGCAGGGTTTATGGACGAGAGAAGAAAGAAGAATGGCGCGATTAGTGAGAAGCACGGATCCTGAGCTGCCGATTCGAGCAGCGCGCAGGTTATGCGAGGCGCGAGCTCTGCCAGGGATCGAAATTGACCATCGTTGACTCTTCTCGGTCAAACCCCAGGAATTTTTCTAAAGGCCAAAAGTTAACCAAAAGTTTAATGTTTTGTTCCTTTTTATGTTTCTACTTAACTCTGATCTGTGAAGTTATATTTCCAATGTCCTTGCGAGAAAAGCTCTAATAATGTTTCTAGATGATTTTACTTCCTTGGTGGGACAGAGAACTTTAATGAGTTTTATTTGCTTTGATCTGTGAAGCAATGATCTTATTTCCTTGATGAGAGAGATACTCCAACTTATTGGTTGTGAGGACTTTAACTCAATTGCCCGATCGGTGAGTCAAGCCGGAGGCGTGCGTTGCCGTTCGCGTGCTCACCTCTGGACGCTGCTCGTTGGCCTTGAATCGCCCCACGGCCGAGTCCATGGTGGTGCTTACATGCTCGCAGATGGCCACCATGTCCAACAACGCATCCTTGAAAACCTCCTTGCCTGGCGCACCTTTTCAACATTGAAATGATCAAAAGCATCACTCTCGTGATCAAGAACTATGGTTATAACATGAGAAACAATCTACCTGTTGTTTGGACTCTCACATTCACCTTGTTCTCGGACGGGTGAGGGACGCTGTAGCCACAGAACACCACCCTAGGGCTGCACACAGAGAAAACAGAATCAAGAAATTCATTCCTTTCATGGCTATTCAAACTCTTTGTTGAGGAGGAATCGCAACGAGTTGCCCAAGGTGTGATCTTCGCCATTGAAGCAGAATGTAGATGAATGGGACTCCTCCGAACCAAGCTCCATGGCCGAAAGCGCTCTAATTCAAGAGCTAAGGCTCCAATCTCACAAGCAAACCAAGAATATTTTAATTGTCATGAGAATATGCTGGACGTAACTCTCGAGTAGATCGTTGATGCAAACGCTTTGCCAATACTAGCAAAACTTGTTTGACCAAATGAGAGGGACATGGGTCTTGATCAACGATAATGACATACATACTTATTACATAACAATAGACGTACAGACACAGATAAATGGTAGATTTTTCGCTACTCCTCCAGCAACGACGACCGGGAAATCCTAGCGTGTGCATTTTTCGCCTACACTACAATTGCATAAGCTTTCGAAACAAAAGGTGTGAATGATTTTACCTGGTTTTCCCAGTTCATAAAAAATGTGAGGAAGCAAAGGATTATCGTCTGAGTCGCATTTCCGCAAGCTATTCCAATCCACAACCCCTGAACATATATGTAGAACACGAATATTAAGGATCACAAGTTTGTGTCGTCTTACCATCCCATAGAACTTAAAAACAAAACCAAGAACCACGGCTGTCGGCAAGCCAACAACGTAGAAAGCCGTGAGATTTGCCAAAGCTCCCACGGCTTGCCATCCGCAACCTCTGACGACTCCTATATGTAAAAAGGTTGATCACAAGCGAGGATTACTTGGAAGCATAAATTACCTCCAAGCACGCATTGGATGGGATCACAAGCTGCGATGAGAAAGGCCACCTTGAGCAAGCTTGCAATGTGTTCGACCACGTCCGTTTCGTTACTGTAGACCCATCCGATGCTTTTCCGAAATGCTAGAAACACTACCACCGACAGAATCGAGTTCAAGGCCGCCATGCACAAAGTAACTCCCACTGCTGATTTTGCGACCAAGTGATTTCCAGCTCCAAGCTCATTTGCAACACGAGTGCTGGGTCGAAGAAAAAATAAATTTGCTTGTTTGTTGAAAATGTAGAAATTTACCTGACAGCTGCACTGAAACCCGAAGGGATCATATAAAATGTGACTAACGTGCTCATTCTGAACGCAAAGCAAGGTTAATACGTAAGTCACAGAGATATTTCTTACATGCTAGCGAATGACGAAGTCTCGAGTTGAGGATTTGGCAATAGTCCCGATAAGAGAGTCAAGATTTCAAAAGAGCAAGCTTCAAAACTGCATAAGCAAATGAAGTTTCAGCTAGCATCTCCTTGAAGCCCTACGTACCATATCATCACAGTCGCTGGGATCGCAAGCTTGAAAAACCCTCTAAAATCGTGGAGAGCATTCTTCGTGATCCCTGTGAAAGTTGTTTTGCAAGTCGAGGAGAACTTTATATATGCCAGTAGCATTAGAGCGTTGAGCCAGTATGAGATGCTCACACATATAGCAGCTCCTTTGGCACCGATGTGAAGCTGGTAGATGAAAATCCAGCACAAAAAGACGTGGACGATCGCTGTGATCAAGGAGAATATTGCCATGGGGGCAACTACATATTGGGCCTGTAAAAACTTCACGGACGGCCATACGAGCGCAGATCCAAACAGGCCTGGCACCAAAAACCTTGCATACTCTTCAGTGTGGGAGGAAATAAGGGGATCTTGTCCAAGAGCTCGAAGAACATCTCCAATGTAAAACCACAGTATTGAGATTGGTATGCTTATGAGCAGTAGAACAAAGATTGCTCTTTGTAGATAAACTCCAAGCAAGCTATGCTGCTTTGCACCATATGCCTGGCCACAAAGTGTCTCCAGCGCAGCCGACATTCCCATCTATAGAAATTACTAAAAATCATCAGAAAACCCTGCTCATGAGACAAAGTGGACCTTACAAGGATAATGAATCCTGTGACATTGCAAGATGAGCTCGCTAGCGATGCACTAGCGAGTGATAACTTGCCCAGATGCCCCACGAACATCACCGATGAGATTGGGACAATGAAATTGAGAATACCCACGACAATCATGGGTCCTGCGATCACAACTTGCATCTTTACTTCTCTCCATACCTCAAACTTTGCAGGATCACTGCGGGATTGAGCCTCCGGATCATCCAGCAGCGGCTGCTGGAGCGCCATTATCTGGATATGGAGCGCCTTGTATTCACAACTGGGCCTCTATGTAATGTGACCCATTAAAACGATTTTGTTTTTATTCTTTTTTGGCTGTGTCCTTCGCCTTCGCATTTATATAGTTCTGAGGCTGATAATTTACTCTATATTCTGAAGAAACTACGTGCTTTGTATAAAATTAATATATTCTATTTTGTAGGTTATAATCTAAAATTCAAATTTAAATTATGTAGCTATCAAGGGTCCCAGAGAAGAGCACAACAGGCCAGAGTTTGGAGAAATTTCTTCTTCCCCTGGACAGAAAGAGGAGAGAAAAAGAGCCACAAGAAACACGTTGCAGAGAGAGAGAGAGAGAGAGAGAGAGAGAGAGAGAGAGAGAGAGAGAGAGAGAGAGCTAATTTGACGACTATTGAGTGCTGGCGGACCATGCACACTCTATGATTTCCCATTCATTGCTGGAAAACAGCATGATTTTGAAGTAAATATTATCAAATTTTGTGTTGATGCAACCACAATTCATGAGCGCTGCAATGGCGTATTGTTACGAGCTCATTCTGCCTCAAGTGATATAGCTTAGGTCATGGCCATGTTACGTTGTCAGGCATGAGAAAGATGGGAACTAAAGGATCTCCAGATGGTGGCTCGTTTTCATCTCTCTCTAGAACCTGAGAATTCAATAATGACAAACTGAACTCAGCCTTAGTCTGCCTCGTGCTGCTCGTTGAGTTGGCAATGGCTACTCTTTAACACTTTCTGGGTCCCTCTAGTGTTCTGCTCGAACATCCCTATCCTCACTTAAAAAATATATCAAGTGGAGTAGATTAGTGATAGGAAAACACGTATGCGTGATAGGAAAACACGTATGCATTGTAAACATTGGCAAAGTCTACCTTATTATTTAATCATTTGCTAGGCCAGAAAATGGACTTCAAAGTTCAGACAGTTGACTCGCTCAGAGCTGATAGTAAATAATATTTAACTACGTGAAGTTTTAATTCGGGTTCCACTTGAGGAGATGCTAACAATCAGTGAATTGTCAACAAAAGCAAGCATATATTTGAATGTTCGATCTTAATAAACTTTGCCATTGTTATGTACCATACATTTCAAGCTTGAAAATTCTAAAGAATCTTATTCTTGCAGTGCATGCAGGTTTAAGTGTCACTAATTCATTTGTTAGTGGTTTTGTTTGGCCGCTTCTGTTCCAGTAATCTAGGAAGGTACATAAAGACAAGGATTCGCGTACCTCTTGCACTGCCCTAAAGGTCAACAGTAAATTGAATAGTTTTTTAGCACTTTCCCAAATAAGTAAAGGCAGGGGTCCATCTAGGGTCTCTATTAGGGTTTACTTGGTAGGCGCGCGGGGATCGAAATTTCGTAGAAATCTTTGGCGCGATCGCCCCTTGTCCTTCCTCTCGATTCTAGTCTTGGAGATGATCAGCAGCGGCGGCGGTAGTAGCAAGCAACAGTAGCAGCCTGCGAGTCTCTCCAGGACTTATTTCCTCTGTCGGTGGTCTTTATTAGCGGCAATGGAGACTGGCCTCCTCGCCTAGGCTGTGCGTGCATTGGACGATCGGCGAGGAGCTGCCAAGGATCGAAGGATTCTCTACTGGAGGAATGACCAAGGGAAGCCTGCGCCGCCTGGAATTGGATTGCCTATGCCAGCCCGGGGCCGTGAGATGGATCGAGGTCTGGTTTGGCGATTGCGTGTACAGCCCGTGGGAGATTTTGGGATTTTGCGTGGGGATGTCGTCAGTGTTCTTCTGGATGATCGCCCAGATGCCTCAGTTCGTCAGTAATTTTCTTCGACAGAGCGCCGATGCTCTCTCGCCTTGGTTTCTCTTCCAATGGCTTGCGGTACGATTCCTTTCTTTCTTTTTGTTCTTTTCTTTGCCAGTTTTGTCCTGAAGATCTCCCATTTGCCAGGGCGATTCGTTAAATCTTTTGGGCTGTCTTCTTACTGGCGACCAGCTTGCGACTGAGACATTCACTGCGTATTACTTTATTTTTGCCGATGGTTTAATTATCTCACAGGTTAGTGTGTGATAAAATCGTTTTTTTCTTTGTCTCTGATCCATCTTTCTCAAATCGGTAGTACTTATACTACCGCGCTCGTAACAACAACTTCGATGAATCTGTACATAAGCCTACGAATGGTTATCAAAGCGTGCTACAAATAAACTCAGAAGATGGAACTTCCAGACCGGGTATGGGAACGAGTTTTTGTTTTCAAGCAGAAAACTCCTTGCTAAGTTCAGGCATTGTTGTTTCCAGCGGATCTTCCGACGCCTGGTCATGCAAGCAACAGCAAAGGAAAGAAGAAGCAGGATTCTAATCGCCAGAATCAGCAAGTGCTCCAACATTCCAACGGCAGCCAGCTTGGTATTTTAGCTAGAGGGGAACGGTTCCAGGATTTCGAGGAAGAAAAGCTGCAGCACCTTAAGTATCAAGTTGCCAAAGCTTCACAGCAGCATGCGTGTCCTTCTCGGCGCCAGTTACGAAGAGTTGTGATGGAATACGGGCTGGAGTACGGGCCTCCATCCATGTCCAAGTTCACCACACAGCAGGCGTCGCGATTGCCAAAACTTGATCTAAAGCGCACAAGCGGGAATAACAAGACCTTAAACCCGGGCTTGAAGAAAGCGCTATGCTTGGCTGGTACGGTAATGGCAGGAATCCCTGGAGGCGATGCTCTCCAGGCAAACCGGAAGCTTTTGAGGCATTGTAGTGAGAATCAAACCCAGAGCAGGCTCCAATGGGTCAAGCAAACTGGAACTTTCTTCGGGTAAGTCGTGGAGTTTTCATTTCCAGGCCTAACTTTTAGAGCTCTTCTCCAGGTGGATTTCTTCTGGACTTTACTTGGGCTCCCGGATTTCCCAGCTCGTCAAGAACAACCAGAGAAAATCAGCGGAAGGACTGTCGCTGGCGATGGTGTCGTGCGCGGTGCTCGCGAATCTCACGTATGGAGCGGCCATTTTGATGAGAGCAAAGACAATGTAAGCACGGCTTCCCGGTTTTTGTTTGTTCCGGTTTTCAGACAAACTTACTGTTTGCGTGACAGGGACGATTTGATAGGAAAAGCTCCGTGGCTTTTGGGAAGTTTGGGAACGGTGTCTCTGGACATCACCATTTTCTTACAGGTGACAAAAAATGCCTCCAGATTTGACCGCTTCTTAACGTGTTCTTTCTGATGAAACAGGCACAATACTTGAGCTCGAGGTGCTCGAAAAAAGACGACGAGCCAAACGAGACAACTCCGTTGCTTCCAGCGTAACGTCAAAGGCAAGCTTTTGGACGAGGCCCCCGTTTTTTTTCCCCATTTTTAATTTTTCTTTTGTGAATATTTTGTATGTATCGAACTCCATTCTTTGCAGTTTACAGGCTTGTGCACAAAAATTACAAGAAAAAAGAGAGAGAAAAAAACAAAGAACATGAAATATTTTCATAGATCACTCATCTTCGTGCTTCTTGCCATCGCCCTCTTGCGACTGCTTGCTACCATCGTCCTCCTCGATCTTCTCCAGCGTCTCGCCTTTCCTGATCGCCTCCTTGCCCGTCTTGTCGATCTTGAGAAGATACTTGGGCTCCTCTGGGCTGGCCTTGAAAGTTCTAGCCCCCAATTTCCTGTCCTGGGTCAGCTTCTCCACTATGTGCCCGCGCGCTTTCCCTGCGCCATAGCTCCACGCCACGCGATCGCCCACCTCAAACTCCACCTCCTTGTGCTCTTGTTGCTCGCCCATTGTGATCAAGCACGAAGAAGGAAGAGGGGCCCTAATTGACAAGTGTCAGTTTGTCAGTGACGCCGCGTGCCAAGTGTCTTAAACCGACACGTGCTCGCACCAGAGATTTCCACGTCATCGACGTCATTTAGCTGGAAAAATAAGGGTGACACGTCAGCCTCTCTTTCTAGTATGGCGTCTCACGCTGCATCGCTCTCCATTGACTCTTGGCCGCGGAAGGACCTAGGGTTTTGCTATGGCGGTTTAGCATAGGATTTCCACGCCATTTGTCATATTTTGCGTTCTTGGACAGATCCTTGCGCCGCAAGATATTGCGCTCGTCATCGCGACGCAAGCTATCGGGGATTCCAGCTCCAATCGAGGCGCCGCCATGGCATTGGCTAGAATCAGTCGATTCCAGGTAGAATGAAGCTCCAGGTCAATGTGTTCGAGGCGAGGGGTTTGGCCGCCAAAGATCCGAATGGCTCCAGCGATCCCTATGTGAGGTTGCAGCTCGGCCGCACGAAATCCAGCACCGGCGTCATCCATGCGTGCCTGAATCCGGTGTGGAACGAGGAGTTTGATTTCCGGGTCGATGATTCCGGGGCCGAGATTTTGATATCGGTGTGGGACGAGGATTGCTTCGCGGATGATTTCCTTGGCCAGGTCAAGCTTCCAGTGTCGAAGATTCTCGATGCGGACAAGCTAACGCTGGCACCGGCGTGGTATAAGCTTCAACCACGCGGCGGCAAATCAAAGTCGGTTGTCACAGGTATGAAGAATTTTGCTTTTCACCACTGCTTTATAAACATTCGCTTCCAGGTGAGATTCTTTTGGGCTTTTCTCTATATGGAAGGATCAGCAATGCGGCCGAGGCCGATGTAGAGCCTGGCCTAAGGGATGGATTGCTGCATACTCCAAGTAGCTCCGCTCCAAGTTCTCCACGCACAAAGTCTTCTCCCGATACAGAGAGGCTTAAGGTTCGTTCTCGACTTGGTCAAAAGGTGACATCTCTCTTCAAGAAAAGTGCTAGGATCCATCCCAATTCGAATTCGTCACCCAGTGTTTTGTCGGATCAATCGACGGAAGAATGTGAAAGCGAAGAGGAGGAAGGCCAAGTCCCTCTATCCTTCTTTGAGAAAGGTGGTTTACAGCTCTCGACATCTGGCGACAGCGTGCCACCTCCATTATCGGGAGGTTTTCTAGCGAACCAGACGTATGCGACGAAGCTCCAGACTCTCAACTCGGTGCTGTTCAAGCCCCACTCTCCGTTCTTTGAGGAGCTGATTGCAGTGCAAAAGACAACCGATCTGGTGGAGGGGATGTGGAAGAAAGTTGGCAACGAAAACCCGAAACGAGTTCTTACGTACACGAAAGCTGCTACCGCAGTGGTAAAGTCGGTCAAGGCAACAGAAGAGCAGACTTATCTACGAGCAGATGATCGCGCCTACGTTGTTTTAGCGGTAGTCAGTACGCCTGATGTGCTCTACGGCAGCACTTTTAGAACTGAGGTGCAGTACTGCCTGACGCCGGTCTCCGAAGAGCGCTGCAACCTTTCCATATCATGGAGGCTCAACTTTATTCAGAGCACCATGGCGAAAAGGCTGATCGAAAGCGGTGCGAAACAGGGACTCACGGACAATTTCCGGCAGTATGTGGAGGTTCTTTCAAAGTATGTCGAGGAGGCTGGGGAGGACGCCGACCCCGCACCAGCAGAAGAGCAGGATGAACCCGAGAATGACATTAGCCTCACACAGGAGTACTTTTCCAGCTCGATATTCATCGTGGTGTCCTTGCTGTTCTTTCTGGTGGTACTACTCCACATTCAGCTTGCACAGCCAACTCCGACAGTCGGGTTGGAGTTTTGGCAACTCGACTTACCGGATACTTTTGGCGAGCTATTGACATCTGCCGTGATCACCGTCCACTTCGTTCAGCTTGGAAAAATGGCGCTGAAAAAGCTACGAGCCGCATCTTTAACAGCCGGCGACCATGGAAAGAAAGCAAAAGGTGAGGGCTGGCTCTTGACAGTGACTCTTGTGGAAGGAGAGAACCTACCTATCCGGCCAAACACAAACTGCTTGGATCCATACGTGGTATTTACATGCAGTGGGAGAACTCGAACAAGTTCTGTGAAACTTCAGACAACTAATCCAAAGTGGGGAGGTAAGTCACTTGCAACTTTTTCTTCTGCATGTTTCTCATGGGTTTTCTGAACAGAAATCTTCGAGTTTGATGCCACGGAGGATCCTCCATCAACCCTGGACGTAGAAGTTTTTAACTATGACGGGCCTTTTCCTGAAGCGGTGTCTCTCGGTTACGCGGAAATCAATTTTCTCAAACTCAGCCCGGATAATCTGGCCGACTTATGGATTCGTTTGGAAGGGTCGCATGCACAGACCTCTTACTCCCGTTTACACCTTCGGATCTTTTTGACTAACACGAAGGAGGCTGATACGTTTGTTGAGTATGTGAAGAAAGTTGAGAAAGAAGCAGGAGCGAAGGTACATGATTTGTCTTATGAAGCGAAGCTAAGACCAAACCCCTGTGCAGGTCATCAAGAGCTCGAGAAAGAACGCTTCATTTCAAAAGCTCTTCTCACTTCCGCAAGAGGAATTTCTCATTAACGACTTCGCTTGTGCTGTCAAGCGAAAGATACCTTTGCAGGTCCGTCCTTTTTTTTCCAGTTGTTCCTTACGACATTCTCGAATTACAGGGCCGCTTATTCCTCTCGCCCCGGATGCTGGGATTCTACTCAAACATTTTTGGACATAAAACCAAGTTTTCTCTTTTATGGGAAGACATAGACGAAGTCCAGGAGTTACCTCCATCGATAGCCAATGTTGGTCCCTCGATTGTGCTTTTTGCCCGGAAAGGAAGAGCTCACGACGCAAATCAAGGCTCCAAGGGCATGGACGGGAAAGGTCGGCTTAAATTTCAGTTCCAATCCTTTGTCCGCGCTGGCCCAGCGTTTAGGTACATTTCCTTTGTTTTCATTGATGATGTAAATCACTCTATTTTTTTCTCGCAGGACATTGATGGTACTCTGGAAAAATAGAGCCCTGACCCCGGAGCAGCAACTGGAAATGGTCGAAAATGTAGATACCGAAAGCAAGCTTTATGAAGATGGCGAGTTTATAGGCGTTGGGGACGTAACGCTGTCGGAGGTCTACTCCACTGTCTTGCCTTTGACGGTATGTTGGTTGGATCCTGATATCTGGATGCTTATTTCCGTTGTTCGATGCCAGGCTGCTTCCATGGTGCTTTTGTACGAGAAAGAAAATCTGGAAGAGAAAGTCATGGAAAAGCTGGGATGCATGAACTACACCGTGTCTCCCTGGGAAAACGAAGGTCCCGGCCAGAGGCGGCAAGTGAACTACAGGCTGAACCGACAGATGTGCCAATTCGGGAGCATTGTGAGTGGCGTTCAGCAGAAGGTGGTGTCGAGCAATCACTTAACTGCATCCGTGGACGAGATACTGACACTGCACGACGTCCCGTTTGGAGACAACTTCCAGGTTTTGTTATTGGCTTTCGGAGATGGTTTCTGGTTTTAAATGTGGTGTTTCTACGCAGATTCACGTGAGGAACGAAGTACGAACTCTATCGTCCAAGCCAGCGATGAGCGAGTGTCGCGTGCTTCTGGGCACCTCGTGGCAAAAAGGCACTGCGATGCAAGCACGGATTACTTCCAACGTCCAAGAGCACTTCAGCAAGCATCTAATTGAGAAAGTCAAGTTAGCTGCCAAGGAGATATCGTCCTACAAAGATCACCACTCTTATATCCTCGTTTGATGTATAGCTCAAGGTATGGTTAGAACATTTCATCCATTGCATTGGTAACGGTATTTTACTTGCGCAGGAACTCTTGGAGAAAAGCATCCCTCAAGAACGTAAGCATCGCGTTTTGGATGCTAAAATTGCTTCAATTGCTTTGTAGATGAAGTCGAGAAAACTGCGAGCGTTAATATCCTGTAAAGTTTTTTTTGTCCCGAAGGTCAGCCAGAGGAACATTCATGCTCTTTGGTAGATCTTCGTTTGATTTTTGGGAAGAACTAACCATTTTTATACAGTGTTGTCTGATCGCTCGCTACTAAATAGCTCCTGCTGCTTCTCTTCCTGGCTCACCTCTTCGTTGAGACTCTTCCAAAACCATCTCGAGAGCTGGGGATGGCTGGCGAGAGTGAGAACTGCCCTTTGAGCTTGGAGCACTGCCTGCCGTGTTGTCTCTGCCGCATTCGCCACCACTGGCTTGACTGCTTGCACTGGAACGGTCGCTCGCTCTTGTAGCATCGCTGGGAAGAGAAACCAAAGAGTTACAATCGAGCTTCGAGAGAGGATTTACGTACCAAAGACTTGAGACGCTGCGACAGCTCCCATTCGACGAATTCCCACCTCCGCAGCCTGGACTGCTCGAGCGGAGGTTCTAACACCATCGGATATCTCTTGACTGGGAGAGGTGAAAGAAAAAGAGCTGTAGTGAGTGAGTGAATGGAGAGCTTGGAGAGAGCTTGCCTCAGATCGTTAAGTTCTAGTGTGAGATCACTGATTTCCATGCTCGAGAGTCGGATTGCGCATCGTCCCGGGTAATTCTTCCCGTGCCATGTCCGAGAGCTTCTCCAGTGATACCGATGCTCGGTGAATTGCCTGAAAGGGCTATAGATCTTAGTACGAAGAAAAAAGAATCGTACTGGTACTACTGTAATTAGAGAATTTTTTTTAGTTTGCTTGCCTTCAAGGTTGGAATCGCTGCCACTAGCGCCGTAAGCAACGCTCCAACAGTCTAGAAATTTGGCTGCGATATTAGATAGATCGATCTCTGCGAATGGAACGAGAGATTCTCACCAGGCATGATAGGACGCCCAGCACCACGAAGAGCTGATCGGCAATCGAGAGCCTGTTGAATTGTCCCAGAAAATTCGAAGGCGCCAGCATCAAGGACGAAGACGACGACGCCAGGGAGGGCCTGGACCGAAGTGTGGCGGATTCGGGAAGAGACGACGATGACCTCCCGTCTAACGATGGAGAGGAGGCCCGCGACTTGAGAAATCTGATCGATACTCCCCCGGTAATTGCTACTGGCAACGAGAAGGCTCACCCGGCTGCCGGGATTTCGGAGCTGGATCGAAAATGCAGGGAATGCCGGCGCCGCTGGAGGCCTGTG